GGCGTGGCGCTCCTTCGAACGCAACAAAGGAGCCGATGACATGAAGACCAACAGGTGCGCCGCTTGGGGAGAAGCTCTCCGATGCCACCTGTTGGTCACAAACGAAACACAACTGACTTAGTGAGCTTGCTGTACTAGTTGGTTTTCACAGAGGATAAAGAACATATGCCTGTTAGTATTTTTTTCATTTTAATATTTTCTGACGACAAATTTCGGTTGCTTCAACGGTCCGAGTACCACCACGCAGATGCTAACTATTAGCCTAGCCAGTGTCACTCTTAGCTCAAGGCACCCTTGTTTAATTGTAATTTATTTTTTTATTTTTAACGGTAAATATTTCCAGTAAACAGTGACTCCGGCCTCAAACTTACGTGGAAGTTGTGCTTCTCTTTGGCTCAAATGCAGGCCGGGATGATGTAACCGCATAAATTGTCGCTGGTGGGAACTCGGCGTGTGTGTGTGTGTGTGTGTGTGTGTGTGTGTGGGTCAGTAATTGGAGTCAAGCCATAAAGGTCTGCTTGCTTGAGTGTGCATGAATAATTTATGGCAGCAGCACACTAGTCACTTTCTCCCTTGCTGCTTTCTCACTCTTGCTTGTGCATGTTAACGAGGGGGAAACCCCTGTTTGGGGTGTGTGTGTGTGTGTGTGTGTGTGTGTGTGTGTGTGTGTGTGTGTGTGTGTATTTCCTGCTCATGAGTGGGCAGGTAACACACACACACCAGTCCAAAAGGATACTGCAGTTGTCGCCTTAAAACTATTGAAGAGTGGGAGTCGCCTTTGCTGGTTTCCTCTTGATGGCGCCACCACGGGAAATAGGAAAGGAAGTTTTTCTCTATAAATGGAGGGGTGGGACCTGGGGGGTGCAGAGGGAAACAAAAAGGGGTGGCGTGAAGTGGATCACTTCCTTTGTCGCCTTCACCTGCATGTGGAGTTGCAGCGCTCCAGTTTCGTTTGGCATTGGAGTCCACCTTTTATCGTACGTTTCCCCGATGAGACTTTCTTCAGGCTTCCGATGGGGTGTCTGCTGGAGTTTCCTTTCCACGTGTTGCATCATTGCTGAATTCTTACCCGCTTGAAGCTCTGCTCCTGTCCACTTTTCATTTTCATTTTACGAGCGAGCGCCATTTTTCAGCCTCTTTTTGGATTCCAACACACGTGCCCTTTTTTTCCCCTCCCAGACGGAGAATGGCAGCGCCCTCCACGAGGCCGCGCTCTACGGGAAGATGGATGTAGTTCGCCTGCTGCTCGACTCAGGTGGGATTGGAGTCAGGAAAAGTTCAAGACGGCGACGGTTCATATTGAAAAGAGGGCGCACGGCCATTCGGAGCCGTGGCTTTGATGACGCTTCCCCTTTGCACTTCCTGTTTCCCAGAGCCTCTCGCAGGCCTCCGTGATGAATGACATTATGTTGCCTGGCAACAGGCCAGTCATTGTCATATCAGCGCTAAACAACATGGTTGGATGCACTACAAACGGGCATTATTTACATTTTATTTTCGCTTTCATTCTGGAAAAGATGCCCTTTTTTTCCCCTTTGAAAAATAGGACAATACCCCAACAAAACAAAAAAACTGTTTTTTTTTTCCTTGAATTTTTTAAAGTTCAATTTTAAAACAACTTTATTCATGCAGATGTCACAACCACATTACAACTTTTCATTGGTTTTTTCTTTTAAAATAATACAATATAGTTTATTTTGTGTACCATCAAGCTATGAATCGCGGGGGCTCGCTGTGCCTTAGTTTGGCAATTTGTTAAGCGCTCGAGGCTACTCAGTACAGTAATTTGTGTGTGTATTTTATTTTTTCTAGGGATTGACACAAATTTGCGAGATAGCCTGGGAAGAACAGCTTTAGACATCCTCCGAGAACATCCTGCGGTCAAATCTCAGCAGATCACTGCTCTTATTCAGGGTACTCTGCGCACACGCGCCCGCACTCACACATTTGTGCACTTGTTTGAAAAATGGCCGCCGCCCCCGTGCAGTTTTTGTGTGTGAATGTGAGATTTCAAGACGCAGCTGCGAGTGAGTGAAAAGATCAGCTGCACGCCATTTCCTGTAGGAGGGCGCCCGCCCTAGCTCGGAATAGACCGGCCATTGAGGGCGAATTCAATTCCTGGCCCGCAATGAAGCGTCCGCGTCGCATCAACGGAGTGGCTGCTCATCCTTCTTCTCTTGCTCTGTATGCATGTAGAATATGTGACGGACGAAATGGAGCGGCGCAGCATGGCGGAGGAGCCCATCCGCAAGTGTCCCGTCCCCGCGCCCCGCACCTCCATCTCCTCGCCCTCGGCCTCGCCCTCCTTCAGGCACAAGAGTGAGTACTCTACAGTGCAGCGCAGTACCATTAGAGGCCAAAAGTGGCACTTGTACTGGACATTCTACTAGTGCGTTGGATTGTCTTACTAGTGAGTACAAAGTGCACTCGTAAGTGGAGCTTACTGTAGGCTTTGGAAATCCGTGCTCAGATGGCTTTGCATGCTCACAACAGTGCGGCGTCCGTTCTACTGCTGCCCCCTGGAGTCAGATTGTGACATTACAGTCCTGCTGACATCCCCTCAGTCTCTTTGTGTAACGTGTCAGCACAAAGCCTAATTGGCTCATTACCAGCTGGATGGCTTTGAGGTAGGCAACAGAGAATTTGCACCTGAACACAGCGTTATAAAAACGCATGCACAAAAAAAGTGAATAGAGGAATTGGTTGATTGCCTTCAATTACCAAGGTTGTTTTTTTTCTTTTTCCCCAAACATCCATTTTTTGTTAGACACTAAAATGGAGTTGCAAGGATGTCATCATTTTGTAGTTAACATTATTGGACCACCTGGCGTGACAATGGCGAGAGAGAAAAAAAAAAAAACCTCCACATAGTTCGTCACTGTGTGGGAACTGTGCAGCTTTATGCCCCCTCAAGATTGAAAGTCTGAAATCACTTTGGATATCTTCAGATCATTTAAACAGACATTTTTTACCTGCAAATATTCATCTCTGCCGCCCCCGATGTCTATTTAGATGACGCGGTGACCGGCGAGCTGTCCAAGCTGCTACACGAGATCAAAAAGTGCCGCGACCGCGACTACTCCTTCGAGGAGCTGTGCCACACCATCTCCTCGCACTCCATGGACAGCTTCGGCAGCGGACGGCTGTCGGACGAAGAGCGAGCGGACGCGCCCAACGGCACCCTGACATGCGCCGTCAAGGTAAAACGCCTTTATTAGCATCCCGATTTCTGTTAGCCTGTCTATGAAGTTTCTCATTCTATGTTAGCATTATGCTAGTAGATGTTCATGATTGTTTTGGTGTTCAAATACTAAATACGATTTGGAATTCTTTTGGTGTCACTTTTATAATCCGTTTCAACTGAGAGTGTCGCATTTGATCAAATTATTTGGAGAATTAGCGAGAGTAAGAACAGGTGCAAAGGAATGAAAAAAGAAACAGTTTGAGTGCGTTTTTTACACTTGTCTTGTGCTTGTGCAATTTTACCAAAAGGGGGCACTCTCAGACAGATCAGCCTATTGCGTTTGCAGTCAAATAGCTCTTAAGAGCACACACATGCACGCTCGCGCACACGCACAACTTCACTTAATCATCTCCTCAGCTGCACACCAGGTGTGTGCATGAGTTGGCGCCACTCTAGGCAAGCGTGTCGACGGGTGGCCGCCTCTGCCGCCGCCGCGAGGTGACTCTCATGAATAAAACATGCTCACTGTTATAACACAGAGTGCAGGAATGTTACCATGGTTGCAGTTTTGTGTGTGTGTGTGTGTGTGTGTGTTATATTATTCTATGTGACCTATGGAATGTGCAATGTAGCTGCAGTCAATGACAGTCACTTGTGTCGCAGAGGTCTCTGTGCTACCGAGCCCCGAGAGGACCCCTGGGAAAGGACACTGCACCAAATATAAGAAAAATAAGAGCACGCGCACTGTTCGGGGGATGTTCGTGGCACATTTTGTGGTTACAGTTTGAGCTGCGTCATACGCAGAGCTGTTTCTGTTATTAGAGCCACCTTATTGAGCTACAAAAGAGGGGCAACATTTGAGAAAGATCTCCCAGTACGGTGCACTTGTATGGCAACCACAACAAAAAAAGCTGAAAGGAGCACTCGGAAATAAAATCATGACAGACTTGTGTATTTTCCAGCCTGGCGTCTTGAAATTTTTTTGTGGGTCTACTCATGATAGACACATCTAAAAAAATTCATTGGGGCTGATTTTTCAGGATATTTATAATCATCTCAACTCTGCCAAGGATCCTAACAGGGACCTTCGGCATGTGTCTGATTTGCGACGACTCAATTAAAAACGTCTTTGTGTGTGGCTAATATGGAGTACGTCTCTGCAGCGGCCAACCCCGCCCCTAGCCGTGGCCCCCGAGGAAGAGGACGACCGCGATCAAACAGAGAGGAGCTGCGGCCCGACCGGATTCTGGGAGGCGCTCAGCCCCTGCAACGGCTGCCACAACCTGGGCTTCTCCAACCTGTCGCAGGTAAACCAATGCATCACCGGATGCACACCCAGAGCAAATTCGTGGAGCAAAATGTTTATCATGCTTGGCAGTGATGAACAACTGCACTGCATCATACTGAGTGCAGTGTTTTTTTTTTCCCCACCGGTTACCTTGGGAACCCAAGGAAGAAGCCGTCATTGTATTTTATCCGTTTCCTAGAGAATATGAATACAGTAATAGGTCCCTTTATGGCTCGGATGCTTCTAAAAAATATTTTCTCCGGCTTTTCAGGACTTGAGCATGGCATTGGTGCGATGGCATATCTATTTTATTTATTTTTTTGAGTGGGGCGGGGGGAATTGATGTGAAATTTGGTTGGCACGTCTATCATGATCATATACCCCACCCAAAAAAAAAAAAAATTGTCTGGATGCAATGCTGGAAAAGACCATTTGCTTTGAAACGGCCATTTTGACTTAATGGCACCTTGGAAGATTTTTTTTTTTCCTCCAGTGGAAGCTTGTGACACATTTGTATGGCATCCGCATTAGCAAAAAACAAGACAATCCAGAATAGCTCATCGCGAATAGTTGGGACCTCACATGGTTTAAAAATGCAAACAAGAGTTTGGTATATCCAAGGCGTCGATGATTGGCGATGGTCTTCTGCTGAGGTCTCGATGAGACGCTCCATTGTCCCCTGTGGCGCCTCTTAATGAAGGAAATGCCAGCCGATTACGGGCTCCATTCATATCTGATGGCCTATGAACTTGGCGCAAGGGGACGACGGTGCACGTTGGCTTCGACATGGCTTGAAAGGAATGCACGATGAGTCTTTGTATCGATGTATCTCTGTGTGTGTCTCACACACACGCGCGTAGATGTCCTTTCATCAGCAGTCGTGTGCTAATTAGCGTGCAGATGAGACTTCTTGTTTGTCCGCCGGCTTCCTGTGCAACTCGGACACAAGTTGCTCTGTCTACTATCTCTATACTGGGGTGGGGGTGGGGTGGGTGGGCGTTGAGGGTGGGAGGGGTCGTGGCTAATGAATGACTTGCAATCGCTGGGCGTCTCTTTCTCCCACTGGCGCCCCGGCAGCTCATCTTCATCCAAAACCCGCGTTAGCCGCCGAGTCGGGAAGTGCTCAAACTTTCCGTCTGTGTCCTTGACTTCCTGTCGGAGCGTGAGAGGAAATCCCAGCGCCATACTCCCACTTCCTCATTTTTTTTTTTATTTAAAATTTTTTTTTTTTTTTTTTTTTACTCTTCCTGCTTTTCTCCTCGGGACGCGGCGTTCACGTCGTAAGTTACGCTGTTGTGCTTTGGGTGCTAATCTGTGCATGAGTTTATTTAACGTGGGAAAGTATCATTTGTGAACTTTGCATGAATGAGTCAGACTGCATTGCTTGCTTTAAAAAAAAAGGTTTTGCCACGCTTATGTTTCAGTTCAATGGACATTGTGGTGCTCATTCTGATGTGCATGCTTTGGGCCCCCCGGGGGCAGTATATTATAAATATATGCATGCACAAGGAGGCAAGCAATTCCCCAAGATGTCCCAGGAATATTAGTTGCTCTTTGCAGAGGATAAATATTCTGTCCATCGCAATTATGCGATGCCTGAAACGGCAATGCTATTCGTTAGCCCATCAATGGTGTTTCCCATTGTTTTACCATCAAGCTAGCAAATGTTCAGGCAAAGTTATGCACACACCGTTATTTTCATAGAATCGGTAGAATAATCAATTGTAAAAATATTTGTCGTGGCAACCCTTCATTTTTATTTTAAGCCGAGCTATCTAAAGCTAAGCTTTTTAATGTATTTTTATTTATTTATTTTTTGGCAAAGTGTTGCATTGTTGTGTTCTCCACTGATGGCAAATGGAGCGCTGATGAAACTGGGTGTTCCTCGGTCCACGTGTCACTCTCACATGATTGAGTCCAGATTGATGGATGGCCCAGCGCACGCTGGGTAGTGTGCCTCTAATAGTTTTTCAGTGAGTTCGAGAGATGGCGGGTGGGGGGCGCAATAATGGAGAAGAATGCTGTCGGGAGCGTCAGTGGATTCAATCAGGGCGGGTCGTGGCAGGGCGACACCTGTGTGGTGATGACGGAGCGGTGCGGTTTTGGCCGAGTTTGTGTCTCGGGACAGTCGTTCTTGTTTGCGGAACGCGTCTGCAATTATTTATGAAGAGGTTTGACAGATATAAATATATATATTTTTTCCCCCATGAAAAATATTTTGAAACTAACACAGGTTTGATTGAAATAGTTCCCCAAAAACTCTTCTTGAAATAATACAAGTTTGACTGGGATATTTATCTGAATTTTATTTTTTAATTCAGATTTGCCCGAAATTTTTATGAAATGTTTGAAAATGTAGACATGACTGAAAAGAGGAAGTAACGCATCACAAGTTCCACTTATCTTTTACCCAACTGTTAGTTTTCCGTGTGGAGCCTGCAGACAAAAGGCATCTTTTATCTTGCCGTTTTCTGGGCCACATTTGTCGCATTCTTCAGAGGTTACTTCCTGATTTAAACCCCCCCCCCTCCCCTTTTTGTGTCATGTGATTTGCATTTGTGCCTCTCGCAAGGATTCCAAGTGTTCGGGGGACGCACTCGCTTCGCCATCATTGGACGTGTTCCCGCCGGAGGACGAGGACAACCCCTACGAGTCGGTGACCACCGCCGTCACGCGCAAGCCCTGCTCGCTGGACGTGGGCCAGCGCCCCGACGTCTGGCCGCGGAATGGTAAGCTGCTTCGGACGCTCCTTACTGCCCCCAGGTGGAGCGGGGTTGCTAAATCTCTGCGCCTCCACCCATGTCGTTCTACTTTCTTGCTGTGCCCGAGAAGTGGCAAAAATGCTCACACTCGGTTTCAGTACTTTATGTGACTTGTAGAAGTACTTTCTGACTGATTGACTTAAAGCCTAATTGAAAAAGTACTGACTCCAAAATGTACTCAGGTATAATTGTGAAAAGAAGAAATCTGCGAGTAATGGATGCACCCTCAAAATAAACTTCGATGTAGTTTCTTCATACCCAAATTGAAGCAAAGCACTATGATTGTCTAAATGAGACTCCTCAAATCAATCCAACGTAGTTCCTTGGACATGGAGATGGTGGGAAAATGCCACTGCAGTTTCAGTGAAAGTCCTCAACCCACTTGAACAAAGTTCCTTGATGTTAAGATGCACTGAAACTCTTCAACCACTTTGACACAGTTCGGTGACACAAAGAAATAAAACTCCCCGATTCACTGAAACAGTTTGTCACTTTGTCCAGAAAAATCAATACTGGAGTCATGTACCGATATCTGAAAAGTCTTCGGAAGTACATTGTTACTTCCCACCACTGATTTTTTTTGTTTTTTTCTTTTTTGGACTACACGGGAAGTGGCAAAAATGCTCACACTCGGTTTCAGTACTTTATGTGACTTGTAGAAGTACTTTCTGACTTATTGACTTAAAGCCTAATTGAAAAAGTACTGACTCCAAAATGTACTCAGGTATAATTGTGAAAAGAAGAAATCTGCGAGTAATGGATGCACCCTCAAAATAAACTTCGATGTAGTTTCTTCATACCCAAATTGAAGCAAAGCACTATGATTGTCTAAATGAGACTCCTCAAATCAATCCAACGGTAGTTCCTTGGACATGGAGATGGTGGGAAAATGCCACTGCAGCAAGTCCTCAACCCACTTGAACAAAGTTCCTTGATGATAAGATGCCACAAAATGGCGGCAAAGCACTTTTATTGTCTAAATGAGAGTCCTCAACTCACTCTGACATAGCTAATTGGACACCAAGATGTCACAAGATGACGGCAAAGCACTGAAACTTTTCAACTACTTTGACATAGTTCGGTGACACAAAGAAATAAAACTCCCCGATTCACTAAAACAGAGTTTGTCACTTTACTTCCAACCACTGGTTTTTTGTTTTTTTCTTTTTTGGACTACGCGACAACTGGCGAGTCACCTGTATGTTTCCATGACAACCGCATGGTCATTGACTCTCAACCAACCAGAGAGACAGAAGCACAACAGCAATGGGCCAAGAAAGTATTTGTCGTGTGGACTTGGCTTTCAAAATCCTCAGCAAATGCAGCAAAGTGACTCTTGGGTATAAAGCCCTCGCTCGCTTCTCACTCCGGGCTTCACTTTCTTTGGCGGAGGAAAAAAAATCCCGGATCTGTGCTCACTTGTCAGCCTAATTGGACGCGGCTGTCATTCCGTCTGGAAGCATGTGGGGAGAGTCGCACCGACGTGTCACACCGCAAAAAGTGCCAATAGCGATTTAGTCCACCGTGTGGACCGGATAATTGAGGGGATGTTTGGTCCACGCACTTTGACATTGGTTTGTTTCCATGCCGCAAAAAAAACAAAAAAAAAAAACGTTTGCAGGCTCAAAATGATCAATGACATCCATAAATCGAGTCGACTTCATCACGCTCTTGCAAAGCATCTTGAGTCGTTGAAAGGCCCATTTGACTTTTGAAAGGAAGGCAGTCTTTGACCCGGACAGGCCGAAGCAATCGATCACCGGAGAATCGACTCCATTGGCTTGTCTATGAAGTGAAACTGTGACTTTGGCGGCGATGCCGCCTCCCGCGAGACGGACGCTACTCACCCCGCATCACTTATTCATCAGCAGCAGGCGCTTGCGACGCTATTGTGTGATGTGCGCCCGTTTGTTGATGAAGACAATCGCCCCCGCGCCCCCTCCCCCCGAAGCGAATCCGGGCCACGTCAGCGCTTTCCCGTCCCCTCTGTTTCTCCCGGAGCACACTGGGGAAATTAGACGCGACGCTCGGCCTCACACATACAGTTGGAGTCGTTTGTCTTTGGCGAAAATACACACTTGGAATTCTTGAAAAGAGCTTTCAAATTTCAATTCAAAGTTCTTTAAGGTGAAAAGTTTCCTTTTTAAATAATGAATGAAGTAGTCAATAATTCATGCCCTGTACTGCAGTTTTTTTTTTTTGGACTAAATTTATTTAATTATGTTTGTTTTGTATTTCTGCGTGTGTGAATTTTTTTTTCTGAAATATTTCTTCACGTTTCTCTATCATATTAAATTTTTGTATTTCTGCGTGTGTGAATTTTTTTTTCTGAGATATTTCTACACATTTCTCTTATCATATTAAATTGAGCTCAGGTCTTTTTTTTTCCGTTTTTTTTTTTTCCATTCAACTTTCATCAAAATTCCTGACGGGCAATGTGGTTGTGCACTGATTTAAAAAAAAAACAAAACATTTTTTTAGTTGGAGTAGTCCCAACGCAAACATCACACGCGCACACACTCACACGTGAAAAAGTCAAACACCCTCCAAAAAGCATCTCTCTCTCTCCCTCTCCTTCCCTACGCAAGGTCACTTGTCCCATGGAGTCAGCCAGGGGGGGCGCGGTGACCATGGCAACCACTCCACGGGCCCGACTCCAGACTGCTCGCCCCCCTCCCCTGACACGGCCCTGAAGAACATCGAAAGAGTCATCCACCCACAGGTACCGCGCACACACGCACACACACACACACGAATGATTGTGGAAGCGACGGATGCATTATTGAACATCGCCGCCTCCACCTACATGCAGCCGAGACGTGTGCACACACTTTTTCTTTATTTATTTATTTTTACTTTTTTTTTTTTTGCTTATGCCCGTGTTTCATTCTCTCCCATCTGGTGCGTATTGGTGATTTGTCGCATCTGCTTTCCGGCAAACCAGAGAAGACCCCCCTGAGCTTAAAAAAAGTTGTGGGCTCCTCAGGGTGGGAACTGCACCAAATGAGCAACACGTGCGCTCAAAGTGAGATCGCAGCTGACTAATGAGCGTCTTGGTTCATCACGAAGCTGCTGAGCGTGTGCGTCCCCTTTCATCGTGCGAGCGTCGTTTACGGCGACGCGAGTGTGGAGTGCGCACCGAATGTCTTTTGTCAGCACTTTCTGCCCATCAACACGCGTGCACGCTCAAGCTTTGGTGCGGTGACAACCTGAAAGGGCGGCCGGCTAATGAACACGTCGCAGCTGATTAGAGCGGGATTAATTAGCAGTCGCACACGTGGGTTTTTGTGTCAGAGTGTGTCGTCGTTTGTGTGAATGTGTGTCTGCGTGTGGTTTTCTGGACATGCCCGTTTGTGTCTCCCTTCAGCCCAAACAGCGCACGTCTCTGTCGTCGTCCTTGGACGTGCAGCGGCCCGTCAACCACAGCTGCGAGCCCAGCGAGGTCAGCTCGTCACTGGGCTACGCCAGCTTCAGCACCAGCCCCCCGGCCAGCCCGCCGCTCAGCCCCAACCAAGAACGGGACCAGGACTCGGCCGAGTCCAACGACGACTGTCCCCTGACAGGTAGGCCCAGAACTCCTGCAGCCCCTTGTTGGAGGTAATAATAAGTTTGCCTTTTCCTCCTACGTGCCGCCCCCCCCCCACCCCTTGTTTTCCTTCTGTGCTGACCTGCTCGTGCGTTGCCACGGCAACCAGGATTCTTGTTGTCATGGCGAAGTGGCAGCCGTAGCGTTTGACGGACGGACGCATTAAGACGTTTGTGTCTGTGTGCGTGTGTGTGTGGTTCGGAGGTCTTGCAAGACTTTCATGCGCTTGAATAAAATACGCACACACTCACACACGCGCGCGCAACAATGCCGTCTATCATCCGGTTTGCTATTTTCACTCGTTGTTTTTCTTTAAACATAAAGCGCTGTCACCGATGAGCCGTATTGATCAGGCATTTTTCTCTTTGAGGGTTTTAAATAGCGCGCAGGAAGTGGCTGGCGAGTGACGCGAGACGTCCCAGTGGGGCGGACTCCAGGTCAGTCCGATGGGACGAGGTGGGCGATTTCTTTCGGCTGTTGTGGTTGCTGGTAATCATATTTTTTAATTCATTAAAAAAAAAAAAAAAATCCTGGCTAATTTTTCGCCATTTTATACGACCGTGGCTCGTTTAGCGCTCTCTCTCTCTCTCCCCATTAGCTTTATAAGGCCTATTGTAGCGTTGCCGTGGCAACATGTAGCTTGAGAAGCGAGCCGTGTTACGTACGTGGGTACAGCAGAGAAGCAAGACAAGAGAGGATTCAGAGGATGCCAGTGCGGCAAAGGAGTGGGTGAGAAGAAGAGGGGACGGGCTGCCAAACGTTGCCGAACGAGGTTTTCCCCGAAGGTGGAGCGACTTTAGCGCTCCACGATATTCCTCTTCAGCCAAAACGTTTATGCAACAAATCTCCCAACATGAGTGGGCGGCGGATAACATCACATCCATCACGGAGGCTCGTACGCAACAGCGGACCCCTTTTGGGGAGCAATCCCCACTCCACATCCCCAATGCAATATGTCATAATCACTGATATCACTGTATAAGAATAATACGGTGAGCGTATGCCACAAGATGCCACCAAAGCCTGACTAATAGGAAAGTAGTACTGTAATTGCTGTATGTGGAAGTCATATCGAGACTGAGATGTTTGTATGTCAGGGTCCAGGGAGGAGATCAGTTTGACCTGGGTTGTTAGCGGACGTTGGGAGAGTCTTTGCTGCACCCGCACGGTGTATTTCAAATCAAATTATCTGTAAGATATTTCTTTTACGAGCAAATTCATATGTAGCATTACTTTTTCATAACAAGCCGAACCGATAAGCTCGTCCTCAGTGCGGTTTGTCATCACGGCCGCGACAGCAACCTTCTCTTTGAGCGCATCGGCAGCAGCAGCCCCCAAGCTCAACAATGGCGCGCGCAGCCTCGTCATTAAAGTGATTTATTGTGTTTGGGAAGCGGCTTACTCGGAATGTACGCGCCACCTCTGTGACGCTCAGCCAGGAGATTTCCAAATGAGGTTCGCAGTTTTGTCAAAAGCGCCGCTGCCGTAGCACAAATCTTGGAGCCTGCGACGCTAATCTCTGACACAGACGCTTGCAAATCCCTCAAAAGTGCACCGAAAGAGCGTGTGGCTTAAAAAAAAAAAAAAAAAAGAATATAGTGTTCTATTTGCACTCGACTGCAACACTGCCTCTTCTCCGTCATGCGAGCGAGCTAGCGTCTACCCTCACCCTTGTGTCATGTTCTAACATCAAGTTATCCTCAGTTGCTCTTATTTTGGTTTCACATTCAAATGTTTTCACAGCGTTTTAATTAAGAAATAGAATAGTCAGTAAGTCTCCATGCCAGCAGGTGGCAGCACCTTGTTTAATTTATGTAATCGTAAAACGATGCATTTTGCTTATTACCCTGTTAACCCCGTTCACTCATTTGCTGCATTTTTTTGTGTGCTTCCAAACAACTTGGCCACTCCCACGAGTGACATCACACATGCAAAGCTAGCCTAGATGGCCAGAATGACAACGTATTCCTCCGAAAGCGGCGATAAAGACGTCTTGAGATGGTGCAACGTTTTAGCCTAGCGTGAGTGTAGCACCCGAGGCCTAGCATAATGACTTCCCGTGTGGCATCTCCGAGGAAATAGACCTCTGTATTTAATCTCCGGTGCTGACTGGCAGCTTGGTTATTACTTTTAATAACATTCAGCCAGGGCGAACACGCAGCTATCTTGAGATTTGTATCGCTTTTGTATCGTTTGTGTATTATTTTGTCGGCTTCATATATGCACGCCGCATACAGTGGCCTGATTACGCATTAAGAACCTCCTCCTCAAGGACGTCTGTGCATAAATTACATCTATGTTCCATTTAGGTGTGTCCCCCCTGGCGTCCTTCTAGGTCCACCGGGACTTCAAAATAAAGTGGATTTTGATTTTTCCTGTCAATTAGCGCCACCTGTGCTCTCTTGCTTGCATCCTTTCCTGTCGGTTGTACAACATTGGCCAGGGTTATATAACACAGAAATACCGACGATGGCAATAAATTGTCTGTGTCAGAGAACTCCCAAGCGTGATGATCTTTGCTTTCATAATGACAAAAAATGAGTCCTGAGCTGCTCACGTTTCTTATTTCTGTGTCCAAACTTGTCAAGAGCAGCCTGTACGAACAAGCGTCCTCCTTGTACAGCCGGCGGCTACATGCCGTGACCTGTTTACACACCCGCGCATGTGAGTGTCGTCGATGTTTGGGGTGATTGCGGAGTGCGGGGGAAATGGGTAAACCAAGGCCGACGCAGTGTTTGTTAGCGTGCTAGTTCTGTTAGTGCACTTTGCAGGGTCTACTTAAAGGTAAGCCACTTTTCGTTAGGGACACACGCATTGAGAGACGTGCGTTTACGCCCCCGCTGATTTGATGGCTGCCAGCTGAAAACTTTTTTTCTTTCTTTGTTTGTTCACTTTTTTTTTTTTTTTTTCGTCCGTCCCCGCTCCGCTCCTTCTCTCCTCGCGCTCGGCTGAAAGCGAAAGGCGCAAGCGGTGCTGCGGCTCTCTGTTGCCATGGTGACCGAGCCGCTCACCTGTTGACGATGCGACGTGCGGCTAAACTTTAATGATGCTTCTTTGGACGTCACTGGTGATGTCACGGTGATATTTCGTTTTGTGTTTATTTATCTATCGATCGACCACCAACTGCTTGCCGCCACTGACTTCTTTTCTCTTATTTGATTTTTTTATGTGCTTTAGTTAAGCCCCTGGTGCTTCTCCTAGGATGAGTTCACGCATACGTGCACCACTTCAGACACGTCTTCAAACAGTCGAGCATGAAAAGAAGTCAGGAGTTGTTCTTGTTTTCTCTGCAGACGACGGGCCAAACCATGGCCAGCCGCCGTTAGAGGACCGGCGCAAGAGTCGCATACCGGAGGAGTTTGCGGGCCTCCTGCACGGATCGTCCCCGGCCTGCGAGACGCCAGAAACGCCGTACCACCTCTACAGCCCCAAACCTCGCAAGCACGCCTCGACGGGCCTGCAGCCGCCCGATTTGGACGACGCGATCGCACCGGCGACCCAGAAAACGTGCGCGAAACCGCAGGTGGTCTACCGGACTGTATTCCACACCAGAGTCAACCAGGACCTGGATCGCCGAGTGGACTCGCGTTGCGGAACGAACGGCGAGGTCGGCGAGTGCGTAGGAGGGGGAGGGAGTGCGCCCAAGGGCCCCGGCTACGAGGAGAGGGCCTGCACCCTGGGCAGAATGAGGTCCATGCCCCGCAGCGTGCTGGACCTGCAGCTCTCCAAGTCCCTGTCCAAGTCCGACTCCAACCTGGTCGCCGTGTCGCCCATACAGGTGGGCTGCCCTTTCCACATTCGACCATTTTTTTTTTTTTTAACATTTGAATGAGAACAGCCTCGTGACCAGTCAAATATATTTTGTAGCTTTTCTATGCATTTTGCAAGCAAATTGTCATATGTGATCGTTCAAGTAACCACCACATTTTGTCATTCTTTCTTGTCTACCAAATTGCACTGAAAATGCGCACGAGTTGTAATCGCAAACACTACTAAAAGTTACTTAAGTTCATAACGGGAACTTGAACTTCAATCATTTTGTGCAGGAGGAGAACATTTGGGAGTCTCCATCTCGCGGCCAAGCCTCGGCGAGTTCAGGCGCAGCTGGCGACAGAACCGCTCCGGCGGAAAAGCTGGAAAGAACGCCATCGTTTACAGCTGAGTGGGAGGAGGTACGAGCTAATACCTTCCTCGCTATCACTCAAAGGTATTGCGACAGACTTTCTCGAAGGTCAGAAAGCAAAGAATTGTCCAAGATTTGAAACGTGGCCATCCTGAGAATAATAACGATGGCGTCATTAGCTAGTCTGAAGAACAAATTCGACGTTTGCGCCGCCCGCCGCCGCCAATTAGCATATGGGATTTAGCATAGTTCCCGGCAATTAAGACGACCTTTGCGGTGTAATTGCACGCAGCGGGAGGGCGAGATAAGAAAAAGGCCGGGAGCCACGCTGCGTTCAGCGAACAACCGGGGAGAAGGTGGCATTTTTTTTTTTTTTTTCATTAGTATTTTTTTCATATGTCATTAGTAAGCCAGACGTACTTCGCTGTTTGCTCGATGCGTCTGATTGCTAACGTCGCAACGATTTGTTTAACTTGAGATCGTCTCCGTTTTGTGTTTACTCAGATCGACAAGATTATGAGCTCCATCGGGGCGGGAATAAACAGCGGACTGGATGTGAAGGACCACAATTCAGGTACAACGCACAGGACTGCCGAGAAGTCACGCTTGCTGGAACTTTTTAACAAGAAATGTGACGATGTAGCACATTCTGAGGATCAGGCGGCGCGTTGCAGTGTTGAAAAACAGTTTTTCATGTAATTTTCTACCATTCCAGGGGAAAAATGTGCAATATTTCACCAAACAAGTCAAAGCGAACAATTTCCTTTTGTTTATGTCGAGGAAGAAACGTTCAGATTTTTAATCTCGAGGTGACATAATGCTGCACAGATCCCGCCGACTAAAGAAGAGGCGGAGTTTTGCGTCAGACAGTTTGTGGGCGTTTTTAAGCTATTCTCAGCATTTTTAATTGCTTAGTAACGCGTCGCAATAACAGACGACGTGGGGGGGGGCAGACAAATAGGAAATTGGCCATATTTGGAG